ACCTTCTTCCGAACATCCCAGGTTATAATCTCTTCCTTTACATACTATTTAAGGTACTTAAAAATGTCAAGCCAAACTTCACAAGGAAACTATGCTTGCAGTATTACTTTCCTCTCTGTCTAGAAGTATCTATACTTTTAAGCCATCTAGGGCAATTAGCGTTTTGACATGGTAAGTCTTAACTTTGTATGTCAGCTAGTTTCTGGGTTCTCTGGCTTCACTGCCATGTGTGATCCTCAACCACACTTTTTATCTCCAGGATTTCTACTTCATTCATGTATTAAACAGAGCTAGTAAATCTATTTCTGGCCGCATCACACATGTCACAATGTTACATGTCCTGTGTCCCCTGGCTGCCACTTGCTTGTTTTGATTACTTGTGAAAGACACTGCCGTACGTTGAAGTCCCTGCTTCCCATGTGACTTCCACACTACCGCCTCTTCTAGGAAGTGGATGAAACTCATGAGGCCCACAGGGTAATGGTACAGAGCCAGCAGAGAAATTAAGTCAGGTCTTTCACATAATGATGATACAAACGTTTCTGATGTTGGCTACAATGGAAACATCTCTCATGTAATGTTCTCTCAGATAATTTGTTAGCAGGGAACACATATCAGTATTCATTACTGCTTTCCATATCCTGCACTCACTGAGCACTCAGCATGAGAAAGATTAAATAGCTCTGCTAGATAGACTGTCTCAATGATAATGACCTGTTCAGCTACTTTGCAGCCACAACTCAAGCTATCCAATTCTTTTCCTACAACTTCTTCCACACTTTCTTCATCAGATTTCTCTGCAAATGTGCAAAACCTATGCCGAGTCCAAAGCTACAGCATGTGCACTCAGAATATATGCAGACGTCTTCTTCAACTTGTGATATATTGTATGGAGGCAGAACCGTGAAAAAGGAATAAAAGTAAAATAAGAGATTAATCTTATTTGCTCAAAAATATCCAGATATCATTAATTTTCAGCCAGCTTCTATAGTCTTCATTACACACAACTCCAACTGATGTTACTGTGGTGTTTCTCAATTTTAATCTTTAGAATGCAGTCCACAGCTAGTAAGTGCCTAAGTACACAGACAGTTCATTGTATTTGTCTGTAAAGTACTATCTACAAACCTAAGCAATGATAAACATTCCTGGGTCTGAAATCTATGAATGAAATAGATCATCTTGGATGTCGTGTCCTATAGCACGAATGTCTATGTATATCCGAAACTGAACAAAGTGCTGCTTTATGATGTTCTTGGAATCGAATGTCAGAATGTTAAATTTAAAGTTAAGAGAACAGCTTTATGTGGGCTGGAACATTTGTAAGCTAAATTTTGTTGTTAATATTTTCGCAAAAAAGCTGAAGAGATTGAAAACCCAGGAGTTAGAGGATACAAACAGTGGTGGAAACTTTTATGTAAATATTCACTACATCATAGACCAACCCTCAAGAAAGCAAAATAAGTGATTCTATGCAGTATATATTACAATACATTGATACAAGAAACATAATCTTAAATTGTATTCTCTCATTCTGGAAGCTACAGAATAAACCCAGGTAAACTTCTTGATGATGAAGTACAGTGTATCTGAAGAACTGATAATAATTTCTTAAAAGCTGTAATAAAAAAATGATTGGAAAGACCTTTTCATAAAAGGTTGCCATAATCTGTTGTCTAAAATTAAATTCCAAATAGTGAAACAAACTCTAACCCTAAAGACTACAAGCATATTCAAACACACTCAGAAGAAGATCAAATATCTTATTTTTCCTACATATGTTTTCTTTGTTTATTTTAATGTTAGCATATACAAAATGCTTCTACAGATAAAGCTTATGCAGTAAATAGACATAGAAAGGTGACATGGATGACAAGCCAGTTTCCTAGAAAACAAAGTACATAGGAAATATTTGTGCCATAATTAGTCATATAGGTTTTTCTGGGTAAAAGCAGACAAGTTTAGTCATCTAATAAGTATTGTCTTGTAGGACTCTGTTATTATTTTTCATAAATATCTTGAATCCTTGACATAAAACAGGCTCAAAAATAACTAATTTTGAATATTTAAATCCTCCATTTTCTTCCAAAATGTTTATTTTCTGTAAGAATTCTCACAGACTTTTTATTAAAAGGAGATTTTTGTCCTAATAGTGAAAATTTGTAAGCAGGAGACAATCCATGTTCCAACTACAATACCCTTGCTCACCGAGGCCCCTGTGTGTATGAGCCCTCCCAGATGCACAACAGCTTGTCAGCCTTTCTGCAGCCGCTGCTGTCAATTTGATTCACAGTGATCTCTCCTGCATGGATTACCTTAAAATAGCACAGTATAAATTAAATCTTGCAATTACCACAAACACCCAGGTGTTCAGTATGGCAAGATGGCCTATAGGAGAGCAGCTAATTTGACCTGGAGAACTTGGGTGTTTGATCAGTATTTTCTGAGGGCAATTGGCCACAGTGCCTGTAACATACTGTTGCAGCAACACACAGCTTGTGACTTACTAAATCCACATGAAAAATGTAGGGGTAGCTGCTCCTGCTGCTGTTCCTTCTTAAACTAAAGGATAAACAGTACAGGAAAATAGAGGTTGGAGGGAGAAGCTGAAGAAAAAGAGAGATATTGATATAAAGCCTTGTTGACCGACAGTCATACTACCTCTGCCTTGCCAAACTGCCACAGCCAGCCATAAAGGCCTTCCCTCTTTTCTCTTCCTCCCTTTCCTGCAGTGACTCACTCCTGCAGACATTCACTTGGCTATTCTCTCAGCTGATGAAAGATACTGTGTATTCCCCTATTCTATTTTCTGTTTACCACTACAGAGTATACAAAATGACTTGTTATTGCTTTTCCAGATTTGTAAGCATTATCATCATACCTTTTTAAGTAGTCCCCTATTACTGTAATTATGAACATGTTGTGTTTGTACCATCCTGAAAAGTGGCATGTGTTGCAGAGAAAAAAACTAGCTGTTCTTTTGTAGTGACAGGAAAAGTAATATTCTTCTTTTAAACTGTGTTTGGTTTAGTGAGTTGTTAATGCACCAAAGCTGACATTTAACAGTGTATATTTACTTAAAAGGTTATGGGAAGGAAGATCATGTTAGGTTGCAGAAACATTGTATTTGTGCAGAAGCTGATTATTCAAGCCAGAAACTAATGAAATGTGAAAGTGATGATGCCATATATTCTCTTCAGTCTCTACAAACGACTAAGTACATTATAGAAATTGAAGTATCAGTCATACTGAATATTGAGAAAAATACAGTAGTTTTCCAGTGACAAGAGATTCTATAGTAAAAAAGACTTGTAATCTCCCATGTACAGCAAAGAAAATATGAGAAGGAGGTAGATGGCATTGGCATCAGGCATCCTTCCTATTGATTTCTGTATCCATGTGCAGGCTGAAGGTCATAACCTAGATGAGTACTGGGAAGAGTAGAGGTTAGAAACTCATGAATTATGTACTATCGGATAGTACTTTTCTTTCTAGATTTGCTTTGCAGCTGAGTTGCACCTTTGAAGAGATCCATGTGCTTTGACATCACAGTGACTTAGCGCTAGAGACACTTAAAATATTCTGGGTCTCCCTGAGTTGCTTACAGCCTAACTGTTCCATAGACTGTAGGAACCTGGCACTAACAGATGAAGAGTCTAAATGAGCTATAAAAGTCTAGGTCTTTATTAAACAAAGCCAAGTGAGTGAGAAAAAAAAAATCTCAGACTTTTTGTCACCTACATGCTTCTTTCTAAATCTAATAGCTGCTTTAATCCTTTTCTATCTGTTCTCTCTACTGAGGTTTCTATTTGCTCAGTTTTCCTTCTGCGCATTTTATTATCTGATGTATTAGATGCTCTACTAAGTGACACATTCCAACCACAGTCACTGAATGTGACAGCCGTGCTGTATCTAATCATGAAATGCTGTGCTTAGACACTTGACAGCATTTGAAAATATTACTCTTGCTCTGAAAACAATGTGAAGAGTTAGTGTTGGTGAATGTAGCCAGACTGATAACTGGAGAATGATAAATTAAATAGGAATACTAATTTTTTGCATCGTGAAATAATTTTGTTTGGGTTTTTTTTGCGATTCAACTATTGTAAGTTTCTCTGTGGGGTTTCAGACAAAATATAAAGCATTTTTTAATGACTTTAAACTCTGTAAAAATCTGTTTTTCTGAAGGACAGTATAAATCCTAGTTCAAGGAACTGTATTTTAAGGAGAAAGGTAGCGCTGAATTGAGACGTACTGTGAAGCATCTTCAAGCGTCCCAGAAAACTGAATTTGATTTTGCAGAGTTCTGTTACTTTTAAGATTATCTGAGAGGATTATTTGTATTTCTAGCAAAGCTCCAGGAAGCATATAATACATGTAGAGTGGAGTTAACTTGAGATCCTGTTAATCAAGTACTTAGCATCTGTGTTTTTAGGACAGCACATACTTGTGTGATTTGGCCCATCATTTGTTATCTGTCTGAGGATTCCTGTGAATAAAAAAGCTATATATAAATTTAAGATAATATTATCACCTGAAGCTCTCTCAGATTCAATAGGCAGAAGGAGATAAACTGAGCTGTTGTGTACCATTTTGTGGTTTTAATATTGGATAATGATAGACTGAAAAAAATAAAAAGAACCTGTATCCAATTTTATAGTTGCCCTATGTCCTAGGTTCTCATTCAGCATTATTTTTTCAGCGTATTTTGTTTAGATGAGAAAAGAAATCATTAAATTAAATACACACATTTTGCAGAATATACTTCTTTCTAGGTTGAAGAAAATGAACTAAAATTTCATTCTGGATACACAGTTGCCATTAACAATATTGGAATTCTGGTATTTAACAAACCAAGAGCAACTCTAGAACTACAACTCTGTAATGAAATCTTCAAATGTTATATCCATACTTGCACAAACCAGGTCAGTGAGAATTGTGTCAGCAATTAAAGCCTGTAATTATCTCACTAAGTTAAGAAAGGAGGTAGGTGTACTTACTATGTCAGCACAATAGCCACAGCATCATTCAGGACACTCTCTCCAAACAGGAGTGTGTACAAATCTGTATCCACATGCAGCTCATGGAAAATAGCAAGGACTGTTACTGTATGGAGACAAAGCAAAGTGAGTTTGTTATTTTCATATTCCTCTGGCAATTCAAGAAATAAAGCAATGTTAGAATATGAGTTTTGTGAAGTTCAGTCCTATTTATTACTTAAGTGGATAAGAGTGAGTTAAAGGGGATCTTCTGAAGTACATAAGATCCTTAAATCCAGCAAGTCTATGAGTTTTGGTGCTTCAGCTGAGTTCGGAAGAAACTTTCCCTCTCAAACAGAGAATCATGTATAAATGAAAATGCTGCAGCATATTTTACTGTGCATAAAGGATCTTGTGACCAGGGAGAAATAAGAGTGCTGAAAAGACTTGGGTTTTGCCATGAACTTTGTGTGTGATGAGAGTAGCAGATTACCTATTTTAAGAAAGATATAATAACACTTATCCATCTGTTGTGCATGTTCACTGAGGAACATGCATAATAACCTTATACCCTGTCCCACCAGCAGCATATCCACTTTCACCTCAAGTGTAGCGCATCTGCAGCCATGAAGCTCTCCCATCCAGATCAGGATATCTGATACTTGTCACCCATTTTAAGGTTTCTTCAGCATATCATTAATTTAAGTATTTTCCTTCTCCTTGAGTTATAAGCTGTATTTGATTTTTAGCTTACCAGTGCAATATGAAAAAACAGAGTGTGTTGAATTTAAACTTAAGTTGGGAAAATCATTTAGACACACCTCCTCAAGGGAATTTAGACATTTGGCTCATATTCAGGCAACTAAGTCCTTTAGCTATTAAAATGCATCTTAGTTGTTTTATGCCTCAGTTTCCTTACCTGTAAACAGGGCATCACAATCCTTCCCAAGATCTACCTAGTACTTCATAATCTCCAAATGAAGAAGGCTATCTATGTTCTGTGTTGATGTTATTATTCTCTCTTTGCATGGATGAAGCAGAGCTCTCTCTTTTCAAACAAAATTTAATGTAAAGGCCCCCAATTATTTGTATGGTTAAAAATTACATGGTAACTCACTGCTTCACCGGTGCTTATTCTAGTCCATAACTGTGCAATTGACTTAATCCTCAATGTCCAGGAATCCCAAAGACCAGGAGTGCCTCTGGGATACCATGCTAACATCTGACATTTCAGAAATGAAAATTATATACTTTTACATTGAGATGACTGCTGATAATTCACACAAAGACATGAACAGGTGATTATGCTTTGCCTTAAAAACATTTATTGGAATTTTGAAATCATTACTGAGAAGATTTTCTAAATGGCACTTAAATATCTATGTAATCTAAAAATCAGTTTATAAACCCAAAATAGATACTCAGTTCTCCTGTGAGATTTTATGTCAAAGTGATCTCTCTTGATGTGCTATCTTTGAAGAATTTTGTATGTGTTATTCTACAGAAGACAATTTAGGAGATGTGTGTAGCTGAACATTTGCTGATATAGCTATATTTAAATTAGCTAGTTATATTTAACCAGCCCGGTAATGTCACTCATCTACTCCCAGTGCAGTTATAATTTGAACTAGTAAAAGGGTTATTTCTCCAGAACATCTGAAAGGTGTAGGAAGAAGTTTTATTGGCAAAAGATATTTTCTTGGTTCATCAATATCCATATTCAGGTTTTTGCTTGATTAGCAATACTGCCTTAAAGTGCAAATGTGGACCCAATTTAGTCACCTATTCTTTGATGTCATTGGCGTAACAACAGACATGTTTTGTAAAACTATTTGCCACTTCCAGCTTTTGATTATTAGCTAATTAGTTTGGGCTCATATTAATAGTCCCTGTGATAATGATAGAAGGAAAAGAAAACAGTAATCAAAGTCCAATGTACTGTTGGTATGTATGTGTAGCAGGCCAAGCTAATTAGACAGATGCCTACACATTCCTCTCCTTCCTCTTGCCTCCTAAGAAAACATCTTTCTCTTCTTGCTTTCTCTCCCAATTCTACCCAAAACTTCTGACTTAAAGTCTTTTCAAATGAAAGCAAAACAATAAAGCAGGCAGCACAATAACGTATCAGTTTCCTCTTCTGGGAGAAAGTCCCCAGTTCACCCAGTTCTCAGAAAGTATCTTCTATTTCAGATGTTTCTCCCATTCCCAGTGGTGGTTATTGGCTCTTCTTTACAGCATTGCCTGTCCCTGACTGAAGAATTCTGGTCTCTGCTCTGTCTGTATGGTTGTCTGGCCCAAGATACAGCAAGCTTCAGCCATTCCATCTGCTGACTGATATTTATCTGATCTGTTTTTAAAGAACTGAAGTAATGCTGGTTCTGTAAATCCCAGGGGAGACTAACTTGTTCTTCAGTATTCATACAATTTATAAATGCAGTTATTCCTGAGTGTCTAACTGAAATCTCCACACCTGCTCGTCAAGTCTGTAATTTCCATTCCTAGCCTGAGACACAAATAATTTGTCACGTTTATTCCCTTTTTCTTTCCAGCAACATTTTGCCCATTCAAAGATTAATTTCAGACATATCCTCCCTAAACTGACTCACTTCTTTCAATCTCCTTCTTTCAGTAATGATTTCTAGCCCTCTAATCACTTCTAATCAGTCCATATCTTTCTTGAAATACAGTGCACCAAATCAGATCCAAGTACTGTAGTTGACACTTGCTGTCAAGAAATAGAGTGAAAAGATGCTGTAGAACATGTTAATAAATTCTGTTTTCCTTTTTTTGCTATGTATTGGTACTGATGACTCATTTTCAGATTGTAGACTTGAAATCCTTTTCAATGTTGAATGCTCATTTCTTATCCTCTATGAAGTTGATTATTTCTAGAGTGTAACATTTATCCTTGTTGATTTTAAATCATTTCAAGAATCACATTGAGTTCTAATCATGTCCTTCAAAGTTTTTGCAATGTCCTCTCAGCATTGTACATTAAAGAAGCATCCTTTATTGCATTAGCCAACTCATTAATGAAAATGTTAAATAGTATTTGCATAAGAACAGAGAACTGCATAATCTTTAGCACATCCACCCTGTTTAAGAGTTCAATAAAACATTTTCACTTTGTTTTGCCAACCACTGTCTAGTCAGTTCCTCAAGATCACATTTGTCTTCATTAATTATGAGAATCTATGGATATATTTCAGAATGGGCATATTAAAAGGGATGTGATACTCTGCTATGGAAAAGAGGTAATTTAAATTACTCTCTGGATAGAATAACACTCTGTGAATAGTCATTATTGTCCAAAGTAGTCATATCATGCTTTGTCTGATGGATGACTTTAAAACTCAAGGGAATGAATGTAAACGTGCAGTATTTCCTATCATGTACCACAAATATCTAACTTGTAAGAACTTTCATATCTAAGTAAAGATCATACGTACTACATTGCAGTAAGTATGGCCTTTCTGGCTTCCTGAAGGGACTTTCAAAGAACTCTATGTAGGGCTTGGTTTTTGTGTGGTAACTACTCAAAGACTTTTGTAATTCATTAGATACAATATGCATTATAAAAATACTAAACTACTTCTCATTAAAGTACACAGCATCTCTTTATCTTTTATTTAAATCTAAGCATAAGAGGACAGAGAGAGAGAAAGGTAGAGAACTAGATGGCTAGAAGGACAGGTAATTGGGCAACAGCAAATAAACATCTTTTGTGGCAGTGCAAAACTGACACAAATAGAAATAACAGGCATCAGAGCTCCTGACTCAGAAAGGGTTGTGAACTTCATTAGAAAGTTCAGTGATGGGAGGCATGAAATAGTGAATCATCTATGATTTTAACTGCACTTGTGCCAACAGAAATAAGATTCACTTCTTTCTTGACTTCATGGACTGAGGTAACATCTGTTAGATGTTAAGCCTAGTATGATTTTGGTTGTACCCAAGTCAGAACAAGTGTCTGTGGAGCTGGTTTGTGAAAAATATCTTTTGACACATGCAGAAACAAATCGGATTGTTATTAATTCCTGTAAAAAGTATGTATAACTGGAATATCAGGAAACTACAACAATCCTTAAGCTAACTGTATTCAATACTTTGCTGTTATGTTTGAAAAGAATAAGGAAGCTCAGAAAATAAATGACACTATTATATAAAGTACTGGTTTTACTGTACCTCAATCTTCTGACTAGAACTATTAATATCTTTTATAGCTCATGGACCTAAATACTTTTAGGAAGGCAGTATCAAATGAGAATAAAATGAGAGAAATCTCACTTATATTTCCTAACCATTTTTCTCTAAAAATAACAATTATAATTTCAATGATAGTCTCCTTTCCCTACTAATCAGTCACACCACTCACAGATTAGTTCAGTGGTGAATATGAAGAAAGCATAAAAATAATTTAATTAAAAACACATTTATGAACAGTCTTATATAACCAGTGTATAGAATGTATTACCTTGCTCTGTTTATAAATTATGCTTCTTAATGCAAAATCCTTGATTTTACGAGAAACAGAAAGTGCTCTTTCTGATAAATATCCAATTTTATCAATAACAGCAGTGCAACTCACAACTCCATTTCAGCTGTAACCATAGTAACTTCAAATAGAGAAAAGCCTTGTGATTATCAATATGAGCAAAGGTAAGGGAGTTCATATAGCTCAGAAATTGCTGTGCTTCAGCAAAACTTGCAAAAGTAAATCCGCTTTCTGTGCTTGAAATGTCAAAAGTTAAAAAAAAAAAGGTGCTAAAGGTACATGAAATGTCTTTGGATTGGAAGGTCATTGCATAGAATGTGTTAATAACAACAGCTAAGACAAACTGCAAGAGTTGTACTTTTCAGTTATTTTTTGGTGGCTAAGGCAGAGGTCAAATCTTTTCATTCGTGTGCCAGTTTTGTTCTGTCCTTCACCTTATTCCATTACAACCACTGGTACCCTGAAGCAGCCTATTGCTGGGGCTTATTGCTGTGTCTGCCTTTCAACCACAGAGAACAGTTGTTGTCAGAATAACCTTATCCGTGCTCTCACGTGAGGCAGTTTCATTTTGCAGGTCTCTGATGCTCAGGGACTGATGGCTGGGGGCTTCAGTCCCCACACCGGCACCTTTTCCCAGTCTCTTCGCTGCTCTTGATGAGGGACGTGTACCAAAACATAGTGAGGAACTGCTCCATCCCCTTTAGTGGGATCACACCAAAAAACTACCAGACTCAGGTTAAATTAGAAATCAAAATGCAATACTAACACAAGGAAAACCATTTCAACAGCAAAACAGTGAAATCTGTGCTGTTTTATGCAGATGAAATAACAAGAAGCGATGATTTCCCTAACTACATCATAAATGGGACTTATTGATCAGAATAAAGAAAAATATAAATACTGGTCTGGCATTATAAATCAAATACTAATGAAGGGAGAATTTGGGAAATTTGGGAATGGAAAAATTCTATTTCTTAGAAATTAAACCTCTCACCTGAAGTCTTGAAATTAGAAGCTTTTTCTGCTGAAAATGATAAATTATTGGAAGGATATACTTCCTGTAAAATGAATGACTCATTTGAAAGTAACCTTGCTTTGTCCCTAAAGTTTCTACCTTTTCGTTCTAGAGGTGTTTTGAGGGCATCCCTAAGTAGCACAGATGCTTAGTGATCACAGTCTATAATGCAAAACACAGACCCAAGTATATTCAGTCTTAAATCCATTTCTTACTCTTGGTTCAAGTGCTAGTTTCCTATATAAGGGAACCCATAGCATCTGAGAGCAATTCTTCTGAACCAATTTTATGCAAAAATCTCTGTATTAAAGATCTTCAAATACCCTTCAAAGCTAAAATCTACAGAGTGCTGTAACATTATTTCTTTCTTCCTAACAATATTAGTGACTTTTAGCTGGCATACATTTGTTTACTGCCCTTGCAGTAAAATTCTTCATTTAACATGTAAACACCTACCAGTCATTTTTACTATTACAAATAAGGAACTCAATCAAAACAACTTCTGTCAAGTCAACATATCAGTTTTAAACATCTTTTGAAACTTAATTGCTTTTCACAGCCAAGGGAAATTAAATCTAATTTTGAAATGAGTTTATAATCCTACACAGGGAATAATTAAATGAAAAATCAGGTAGCAAATCTGACAGGAATTTATTATTTAATCTTAGGACAGTAATTTATTATTCTATCCTACTTCTGTAACACTAACAATATTTTATGAGAGATTTCTTTTTTTTTTTTAAAAAAAAAAAAGCTGGATATCACATGTAAAATAATCTGACTGATTATTTTATGCGCTAGTATGTATCAGTCCTCCAGGGGACCATATTTTAACTGATTTTGGAATTCCGATGAGCTCTTTATATGGTTTCAGATTATAATTCACTAGCAAATACTACAACACAATGAACTATTTTCAGCAATGTCTACCATTTAAGTAAGCAAAAATTTCATTCAAAATTCTCTAAGTCTTTAAGGGACTAAAATTTATGGATAAGATTAGTAAAAACGTGAAACAACTTAGAATATTGTGAATACATAACAGGAAGCAAGACTGAACGTTAAAACTCTTGGACACGTAGACACACTACATAAGCAGAACAGTAATTACAACAGTATTAATCAGTTATAGTTTGTCACACTAAAAGCAGTTTTCTCAACTGCAGTGTTAGCTTTTTAAGCTTATTTAAAAATCTGGGAAAAGTAATCCTTGTCACTGTTCCTTCCAGTGCAAGAGGAACTTCTCTTTTTTTTTCCCTCATGATTGTTCCAGATTAATCAGTGGTGATTTAATACTATTATAATCAAAATCAGTGCATTTGTCTTATGTATTTCTCCTTGTAAGTCAACATGTTCATTTCTGAAACTAAATAGTATTGGACTGGAAAATGGGAAAAGAAACTAAGCCAACTGCAAAACTCAATTCATAGCACAATGAAGAAATATATGTGGACGCTGTAAGCAACCTTTTATTCCATAAGCAATTTATTTTCCTAGGTATTATTTGTGCTTTCTGTTTCTGTGTTTTTCTCTTGCTCTGAGGATAGGCTCCAACCATGTGCTGAATCTTATTAAAGTAGTGAGGACATTTTATAAGTGGCAGCATTTTGGATGCTTAGATTAATTGGAGAATAATAATTTGATGCAGCTTTTACAGCTACCTTGGAACAACCAGTTTTGTGGAAATAAATTGTTTTACACAATATTTTTAAGCCATCAGAATGATAAATCACAAGCTCAAAGTATTTTGTTAAATATTGAGGGTTTGTTTAAAGTATGGAACGAATTTGTGGAACAATGTTGCTTTTTGTCATTTCTTTTAATAGCTAAGAATTTGAAAGATTTATTCATAAGTTTCTCACAGAAGCTTCTCAAGGGTAGTTAACACTAATGCAGCATGTCATGTGCATCACAAAATGCTTTCTGTTCCACTTTCAGGAACAGCTCAACTGAAAATTTAGTGCACATCCAATGTACCCTTGCTGACTTTGTCTCTTTGTACATAACATACCAAAAAATGCTTTTTTTCATCTCCTCTTTCACTGTTGTTCCACAAATGCAAAAAAGCAATACTTTCCTTTTAATATCAGAGTATTATTAACATTTTCAACGTAACAAAACCTGGACAAATCTATGAAACCTAGGCTAACTTTGAGGTTAGCACTGTTTTGATTATGAGGTTGGACTAGAAGAGACCTCCAGACACCCCTTAAAATCTAAAAGATTCTGTAATTCTGTGATTCCAAAATTTACTAAGTCTATTTCCCAGACTTGTTATTTTCTGTAACTTTAGGCCCACATCTGCAAATTTGTCAACCTGTTGGTATCTGTCTTTCTGGAGCTGCATTTATCATGAAACACTGCATTCAAATTGTCAAATTATCAAACTGATATCTTATAAACAGTATTTATATGGCCAAATCTGAAAGCTATGTTCCCCACATCTTTAAACTGGGTTAGATCACACATGAATGCAATATCTAAATTATTAACTATGAGGCTCCAGCATTACAGCAGTTCTTAGATCAGCAATAAACAGGTAGGTGTCCTGAAGACTGGAGAACAGTATTTTTCCAATCTCCTCAGCAACTTGATTTATAAAGTTTTGAGCTAAACATAGGTAAACCAGTTACTAAAACAAACACAAGGGATCTCTGGAGCCCATTTGACTTATGATTATCAGAATATCAGACATTTAACAGCTATGGGAGTAAAAAGATCAATAACAGAGACTTTGAACATTGCTATGGCACGTGCAATTCTTATGTTCTTATTTACTCCTCTGACTTTTTCAAAAGTAATTTATTTTGAATGGTTACCTGGATCTGTGGCAGACATCAGTGATCCAAAAAATAAACAGTCAGTGAAGTGGAATTCCCATACTTTTAACTGGCCAATGTGTATCGTGGCCTTCACAAAACCATACATTATCAAGCTGTCAGGGGAAAGATAAGACAGGCATTCAGACAGAGTATATAACACTTATGCTTAATTTACGGTACTAACCAGGTTCTTATTCTCTGCAACTTCTTTTAAATAAATGTATCATGTGAATACTGAACATAAACTGCTATCATATAAAAATTCTATTTCCCACTCAACTGTTCAAGTATTGTATTGAAATGTCACCAACAATTCCAAAGCAAAGACTTTTCTGAATAACTGTCATCATCTGGTAGCAGAGGACAATGCTTTTAGCTGTTTATTTTTCAAAAGGAAAGATAATGTAAGCTTAAAAAAACATTATTAAGACTAATTTGTCTAATGTTGTAGGACATTTAAACAAAGGCAGTTCTACTATCAGCTCTGTGACTTGCTCTGATATTTTCAAATGAATTGTTTTATTCTATCAGCTTTTAAATGTTAGCTGTATTCAAAGTTCCGGATAAGGTCACCAAACAAGACAGACATTTAACAACTCATAGTGACAGTGAGGCAACAAAGTCACACTTCAAAATGCACCGATAAATCCTCACTAGTTTCACAGGAAATGTTATCGTTGGTTTATATAACTAGGTAATGCTATCAGAGATGTGTATTCTAACAAAAACCTTACGAATTCACTTGTTAGAACCTGTAATAGATTTTTAATTTTTTGTACATTTCCAATCTAGTTAATAAAAAAGCCCCCACTGCACTCAATACCTTTTCCATAAACACAACACATAAATTGACAACTGTCTTCTTCTAACTACGCTTTTAAAAAATCATTTAAACAAAGCTACATGCAATCACATACATAGCTACATTTTGCCCTCAGCTGTATTCCTAAGATGTTTCTGTAGTCACAAAACAGAAGATCTGAGTGACAGATAAAGTGCTACTAAACAAACAGCCTAAGAGTTAATTACAAACTGTTTTCAGATACTTTACCAAGCTGTAGATTTTTCTGTAGTAACTTTATTACACTAAGAGGGAAGCAGATAGGTCACCACAGAATTCCCCAATGGTCCTAAGTATTTCTGTATGTATTTACATCAGATGCCTAGCAAACAGTCACCGATTGTTCTAAAACAATTTATCCAGCTGTGGGTCTCCTTGATTGATGAGCTCACTTTCTCTCCATTCCCAAAGAATAATGATTCAAGACCATGCAGTGACATTAGTCTTTCTATCTTCAGCACAAATATATCTCCTTTAAGGAGTGAGTTCTTCAAAAACGGACTGTGGTGCTGCTATCCTGATTTGCAACAGTCTCAAAAGTCAGCAGTAATGCATGCCTTTTAGAAATAATTGCCCAAACCTGACTGCGGTTTTGACCAGAGATACTCTTCTGACTCAGTTAAAAATAATTTAAAACAATAAATAAAATTGTTTAGACTATCTGGCAAATTTAGTTATGATAATTCTTTAAACACCCATTGCAGACATCATCCTGGTCTTTAGCATTGTTTCTTATATGTTACTAAGTACTTTCAGTAGGTCTCTGCTTCCTGTCTGTACAAAGTTGCACATGAACTGGACAAAATTGGATTCAGGAGTCTTTCACTGACATAAGAGGTCTAAGTTTGCCATAGAGTTTAGTACAGTAGAAGACTTACAGAACCTGGTCTCAGTTCACATACTATTCAATTCTTGGCTGCAATGAAAAGGGATATAAAACTGAAAATCGGACTAAGCAATGGTGCTCATTTAATCACCAAGATGTTAACCCTCATCCAGCAAAGAGAACAGCAAACTCAGAATATTATGGTTTTTGTCTTGTTTTGATTTTTATTATTTTATTAACTAATCATCTACTCAATACATTTTGCTAATGCTAAAATGGCAAAGGTCCAGTTTTTCAAACATAAACCCAACTAAGTGCAGACTTGGATAGCTGCAGATTTAAATAAACACAAGAATCTGTACTTGTACCTCCTCCATCTAACACATGCAATCACGCACAGAAATAATTTCCTATTGTAAATTAGCTTTTAAAACACACAGTTTTATCTTTCCTTTAAAAGCTGTATATTTTTAGTGAAGGTAATACATTAAAATGATGAATAATCATTATTTATCTGTGATTTCTTACTAGACACAGCTATTCAAAATGAAAACACCTCCCTTCACTTTAAATAACTTTACAATAACTTTGAAACAGAAACAATTTATTTAATTTCAATTATATTTTTCCAGTCATGTCAAAATTTTGTTTCTTGTCATCTTCTCCAAACTACACAAAAAGTTCATCTAGCAGCTGCTTTGAAAACTAGAAATCAAAGAGCAGTTCTGAACTGGAATAAGTTCTCTGATGTTTGTAAAACTAACAGAACTATGGCAGTTTATAACAGCTGAGAGTCTGCTCTCAGGAAAACAATTTAATAAATTCATTGTAATACAGGATATACTCACACATCCACTAAGTAATTGGGAATTTACCTTACTGTATTTCTCTAGATATATCACAAGCTGAGTATGTCATGTGTTTAGTATTATTTAAATTTACATTTTAAATAAAATTGCTTTTGTTAATCTGCACATGACATCAGATCTCATTCTCAGTTTTACAGATTAGAACTAAGAGAAATTCCAGTTATAAATCACAGGAGTTACTCTGCATTTTAGACCGGTAAAACTGAGATCAGACTCTAACCCCTCTAATCCAGCTTGTAATTTTTTATTGTTCAAAAATGTTACTCTGGCTTTATCATTGCCTTCAGTGACAGAGATTATTCAGGTGTGACAGTCTAATATATAGTAAAATTTAAACAATAAAGCAATTTATCTATGAGAAATGTTAAAACCAACACTTTTTAGAGTACTAGTTGATGATATAGTGTGACTTTTCTACTGCATATTGAAAAGTTGGATCTCAGCTGGATACCTGAGCTCCAAATGATAGTGATATTGAATATCATCCAATACTACAAAACATAACTGTTCTTAATGCAAATCCAATGAGGAAAGCATACCCCAATGACAGTAGGACATTAATCCCAGGGAAACACCTCGACTAATGCCCCTATTTCTATTATAAACTAGAATTGAAAAAAAAACAGTCTTATTGATTTTTAGGGATGCTGTAATTTCATTTGATAAATCTAGATTATTTTTAGCAAGTTTACACCCACCAAGTTCAGCAAATCTGATTGCTTTATTCATCTTCAACAATCCATTTAATCTATATGTTAAAAAAATATTATTAAAATATGTTACAAAGTTGTAAATAAATGAAAGTGTCACTGACTCTGAATTTCTTCAAGAATGTTCTTGTCCCGCTAGAATGCATTCCCAACCCAGTGCTCACTTTTGACACAGAGTAGGCTGTCAACACAAATCTTGTTCACATTATTAGGAGCTCTGAATCTGTTTAGTAGGGTGGTACTTCCATCTTTCTGGATCCTGCCTGTGAAATCATCATTTTAACTTTCCTTTTTACTTTTTTACTAATCTAGAATGCCTTTTTTTTTTTTTATTTTAGAATATCAGTACTGAGACCCTCAAGGCAGCATAAAGAAAATAGAAGCTGAGTTGCAAATTAATGTAACCCTACTTTCCAGTGAGACTTTGAAAATCTTAACTTTAAAATACACCTGCAAAGTAATTTTATTTCATACCATATACTTTTTTAAATCTTGTTTTTAATCTATAGTGTAAATTCTTCAGGAAAGTGGTTGCCCCTTAAACTATGGGACCTTTGTCTCTGTGTTCTACATGATACTGGTCCAGTAATAAACTTTATAAAGTAACTGCTGTTTTCTGTATGTGTCTGGATTTTGCATTTATGCTGGGAAATGTGCATCATTTAGAATATAGTATTAGCCACTTTGAGATAGTGTTCTTTTATTTTCCTAAAATGAACTAGCAAGTAGTATTCTGTGGAACAAAAAGAATGAGGCACAGATCTATGAAAGGACTTAAGATAGGAGACTTCTGCTTATGTTGAAAATCTGAATCCTCAGAGCTGCTGTCTTAACTTTCATCCATATAAATCCTTTTCACTTCCAGCAGGTCTTTTTCGGGGGCTTGTCCAGCACTATGTAATGCACACACTGGTTCTCTTACGATCCTTTGGGATTTACAAACTAGTGAATGACCTGCCTTGCCAGTGAGATCTGTTAGAGAGATGCTGAGATCATGCCCTCACAGAAACCAGAGCTGAATGAAAAAGAGGTGGTTCCACTTCACAGTCCCTTTTCACTCAACTCTAATAGAGTAAGACATGTGAGCCTCAGATTCCAAACCCTGCTTCATCTCATTCACTTTCATTTTTCCTAGATACTAAGAACATGCCGAACAGAGACTCTAGGTTCCCAGTGCCTAGAAGTTGCTCCACCTTCTGTATCATTACCCATTATTCATTAAACTCAACAGCTGGAAAGTGCATGAATGTGAAAGTGTGATGTGGCATCAGGTGATTTGTGTCCTCATCCTTGGTGATGGGAGTCCGAGCTTAAGCCTATACGTTGAAGTCTAAGTCTTTTCCGCTCTGTCCTTCTAGCTTTGTATACGTAACTTGAAGCTCTGCATTCTTCTAGGTGATCAAATGTCCCAAACCATGTCTTTTTTTGCACCTAGGAATATATGATTGTTCAAAGAGCTACATACAGTCAATACAGAGCAGGGAGTTGATGTGGGATTGCCCTGTCTCCTTATCAGGTTCTTATTGTGAATAAATATGCAAATTCAGCAATTTATTTGTGTGATCAGAAGCTACATGATTAGAAGCATTATACTTTAGAAAGAAACGGCAAGTGAATTGATCAGTAATAACCAGTTGCTGAAGTTGCTTTGTTGGACTTAGTGATGGTTTGGTACTGCAAATAGTATTTGTGAATAACCGATCTAGTCATGGATCCTGGAACATTAATAAAGTAATACAAAAGAAGAATGAAACTCAGATTACTTTTTCTCCAGGAAAGCTGACATTTTCTACACCCAAACATATTTTTTTTTGAAAGTGTGGGGAGGATCCCATCAAGCTAGAGAAAGTATTTTGCCACTGCAACA